AGGGAAAGAAAGTGTAAATACATTTGTTGTTTTGAAATGTGTATTTTAATGTTTACTGAGTGAAAGTGCAGAATATATAGACGTCATTAACAATACAGTTTAGATGCAGAAAAGGCAAATTTCTTTGAAACAAAAAACATGAAGATACACGCTTACTTTTTCAAGTTTCATTAATAAGCAGAGTATATGACACCTGGCTGTGAAATTGTAATATGTGGATTATATTTTTTATAATAGATGAAGAATAGACATATCTGTGCAGTGATCTCGGACATGAGAGAAACTATTTTATTTGTGCCTTTCTTATACAAAATGGATGTGTCAGTTACCTGAATGTTTTGGAAACCGTTATCCAAAAGTGTTGGTTGATACTGATTTTTTGGCGGGGGGGAGTGTTTTGTTTTTTGGGGTTTTGCTTTTTTTTTTTTTTTTTTTTTTTTTTACTGTATAGTTTTAAAAAGTAACCTTGTACGGGATTGGAGAAAATGTCTTACAGATGCTGTTTGACAACACACTCCAAACTTCAGAATTGTTGACTCAGAATATTCTTTAATGGCTAACTTCAGACATCAGTTTCTTGTGGCCTTACGGTGTTATAGGTCTGAAAGGAAAAAATAACAGATCCTGAATCTTGCTCTGGGCTCTTTTCATCTAGCTTAAAGGCTAAATATACAGTTTTGTTACTTCTTACCTGTTTCTTGTAAAATGAAGTGCTTTTTCATTTTTGAACAGCCAGTATATTGTATGCAATGTATTGCTTAAATCATTTACTCACAAATCAAATCATTTAAACACAGATCATTATTATAAATCATTTAATCACAGCTGGTGAATCAAATTTTTGTCTGAGTGCCCCTAGATATAATATGAGGTACTTAAATACCTTTACTGATTAGTTGTTCTTTATATTTAATTAAGTAGTTACCATAATGGAGGAAAAACCACACTTACAATAACCTAAATGAAGAAAAATTAGTAAATATTTTTTTCACATTAATGTTTTAAAGTTCCTCTACTAGGAGGAGGGAATGGTTAAAAAAATTAAATCATTGTTACAGAAATGACTTCTTTAATAGTGAATGGTGGGGGAACTGTGGAAAGCTCCTTGTGAAAAATTATATGTCAGTTTATTCCAGTGCAGTAAATAGAGGGGAGACGCCATGAAAACTTTCCTTTTCTTCCCCAGTATTTTATAGGTTGTTAAAGTCTAAATTTTAATTACAGAAATATGGTCACATGACCATTAAGCAGGACTGTTCAAAACTCAAAAAAATGACATGTGGAAGAAAATGCTGAAATCATGGCACCCTAAGACATGTTCAGGGTTATAGCAGTACTTTGTAGAAGTCATGATCAACAAAGTAACATTAGTAAGGTTTGGGGTGAAGGTGCATTGAAGTAGGTGTTTAATGTGCATCTTTTAATTCTGTAAAAAGTAATCTGAAATTAATAATTCTTTAATTTTCTTTAATAAAACAAATGTTTCTGCTGTCAGCTAAGTAGAAATTTATCTTCTGTTCTGTTGTCATTTCATGATAAAACAATAGCCTTTGTAATACTTCATTTAGCACGCTTTCCCTCTTTTGAAAATAAATCTTTGACAGTAAAAATGGCAAATGGTTCTTAATTTTGCTCAGCATCTGCATAAACTAGTATGTGTTATATCACATACCTGGGGGGAAAAACAAAGACCTGGAATAGCTCTTTTAAAAAATGTTCTGTGTTTCTTTCAGAAAGAGATGGTCCCTTTTCTCATTGTTTCTCCTCTTCGTTCTTGAAAGACTATGACCTTTGCAGAAGAAAGGAGTTTATCCCCTTTAGTAACTTAAATCCTTTATTATAGAAGCGTCTTACCATGTTTTCTCGTATACAAAACACCCTGGAGTATAATACCCACCTTGTTTTTGAAAGGCAGAATGAAGAAAAATATTTTTCCAGAGTTATGGCTGTATAGAGTAGGGACAAAGCCTAATTTTCAATTGACCCACCCTCCTTTTCCTGGTTAGGCTGTGAAATAGGAAGAGAAAAACCAGGAGCAGCTAACAGATAGCAAAATTGCCTTAAGAAAGGTTAGCTTGATTAGTGGAACATCAAGACTATTAAAAAGGAGAGGAGAGTGTTAACACCTGTGAAGTGGAGAACACTGAGCTGTTAAGTCAGCTGACTCCATTAGCTGCCTAAATAGGAATACCACAGCTGAGACATTATGGAGCAGGAATCAAAGTAAGGGTGCATCTGTTCTGCATTGGAAATCAGCTTCCTCTTTTAAAACATGCACTCCGATTTTGAGGGGAATATTTGCATGTTGTGCACAAGAAAATCTGGTATTCTGATTATTCCTTCTGAAGGTGCTAATTCTGTTTATCCTATCTACTTGTTCCAGCTGAATTAAGGTTTGCAGATAGCAGCTTTTGTAGGCATACTAAATTAATATGTGAAGAAAATATTTTACCATTAACTACCAAAGCTGATAAATTTCATGGATGATCTACAAATGGGTCAAACGTTCCGTAAATATGTAATATTTTTATTCTTAGGTGTGCCAAAGAATCGGCTCATAAGGACTTCAAAAAGGCAGTTGGAGCATTTTCTGTAACATACGATTCTGAAAATCATCAACTTATCATTTTGGTAAATAATACAGTGGATACAATTAAATAAGTATTAGTCCTGTTTTGAAATGTGCATTTGTCACATTTTCTTCTCTTTTTATGTAGTCAATTAATGATGTTACAACAAAGCGAGCGAATATGCTTATCGATATGCACTTTCGAAGTCTTCGTACCAAGTTATCTCTGATATTGAGGAATGAAGAAGCTAGTAAACAGCTGGAGGTATGTTACTTATCTGCCTTGGATAAACCTACCTATTGTCTTAATCAGTTGTGTGTATTTATAGTTGGCGGGATTCTCTTTTTATTTCTCTTTTTTTTTTTAAGTGAAGGTAGTGTCATTAAATACTGATGATATTTGCAGTCTCTGAAAGAGGAGTTCACCCTTTGTATCTTAATGTTTTAAAATGCGACTCTCCTCCAGTTTCTGTGGAGTCAGCAGGATGAAGTATAAACATACATGTATGAGCATTTCTTTTATAGGGCGGCCATGACACAACACCACTAGTTGAAGAAAACCTAGACATTTTATAATTTTAATAAACTTGTTTTTAAAACAAGTGGGAAAGGTTATGGTATGATGTTAACATGGATTAGTGCTAGTAGAAGAAGAAACAGGTTTTCATGAAGAATTTTTAAAACGTTGAAAGTGAGAGGGTATAACACTAAAATAGAAATTCCTAATTTAGAGGGTGGCATGACAGAAAGCACAGTGATGAACAGGAGAAGGAATTAAAGGAAATGGTGAACCACAATTTGATTGGCAGTTAACCTCTGATTAAAAGGTCGGTTTTGAATGGTAGGAAGCTTATTTTTGCTTGCACATAGAAAAAAAGTGGGCTAAGGAATATGTACATCACAGTAGAGTAGTACGAAATAGTTTTCTTATCTATAAACTGGTTGTAAAGAGAGAAAACGTGGAGATAAAATAACGAGCTAAAGCGACAGTGTTATTACAATTTGACATTTTGTACTGGCACGTCTTTCTATTAGAACCTAGTGTGATTTGTTTTTCTAGTTTTCTTAGCTTAAAATGGGGTGAATCTTGGCTCTTATGAAACATTGTAGTGCATGTCCTCACAACTCATGGGATACAGGTGAATTTTTAAGAAGGTACCTCTTGAGTTACACCTCACGAATCAAGAAAGCAAAGTAGTAGTACGATTTTAAGGGCACTAGGAGAAGGACAATTTCCACTTCTCCTGGCTGGCACTTTTTTCTGAATTGTGGTTCTTCACAATAATGGTCTGCTTCCCTCTCTTCCTTGCCTATGCAAATATCCTGCTCCAGGAGAAGTGACATCTCCTGAAGCACTGCTTGCTCAGCTCAACTACCTGGCTGGGAACGTTAAAAATAATACCCCCTTCCCTTCTTGCTAGTTGCCCAGTATGAGCGTAGATAACCGGCTATTGTTGTTGTCCTTCAACTCCCACCATAAAAACTGGCCATTGTTTTTGCTGTGACTCTGAGTCTTCAGTTACCACTAAAGTTCTAGTTGCATTGCCTTAAAGGCTAAGTATAGACAGTCAAAAAGCCCGTGGCTGAACCGATTCAGTCTTTGCAGGTGAGTCTAAGCAAGTGGTCTCCAGCCTTTTTAAGTAGGAGATCACCTTTAGCATTTAAAAGCAACCCAAGATCTATTGTGCGCAGCCGCCCCCTTTCTCCCTGCTCAACATATAACTCTCTGGGGGAGGGGCAATTGAGGCAGAGGGAGGAAAAAGTTATTTGGGGGCGTGCCTCCCCAGTAGGTAAGTCCCATCTGGCCCGCGCCCCACTCAACTTATCCCTGCTCCTGCCTCTGCAGCACTGTCCCTCACTGCGGGAGCCTCAATCTAGCCCCTGCCTCTTCCCTCCCCCACAGACTGACCTGCTGGGCTGGAGCACATGTGTGCATGCACATGGGCATTCAGTCCCTTACCCCAGCCTCAGATTGACTCCCAAGAGGCTCTGACATCTACTGCAGTAGGCTCCAAGATCCACTGGCTGGTGACCACTGGTCTAAACTGCACAGATTAAATTGAAACAGAAGTGAACAGACATTACCTTTGATTCTGGAAATGCAGCCACATGCCTGCAGTGGCTCAGGCCAGAAGCTAGAGCATGGCTCTCTGACTGTATGTTCACTTCTTCCTGCTGCCCCTGAGGTCTCTGGGATTTGCAGTCCAGAATTACAGCAGCAGGCTTCTGCAGGGTTACTTATCACTTCCTCTTCCTGCTTCTAGGTGCCTCTGGGATTTGCAGTCCACAGTTGCAGCTAGAAGTATGTTTGAGCAGGGGAAGGGTTATTTAACTCCTCTCCCTGACCCCAAACCAACTGGCGTCTGCCTGGACCGGGGCATTCTCCTCCCCTCCTCCTTCCCCCTCCCTTCCCCCCGTAGACTGGGCTGAATCCCCAACCAGTCTTGCTTCCCACCCCCCCAACCCCTTGTCAGCTAGCCCTTGCTGCTCCATCTAGAGAGCAGAGGGGTGGAGCCAGCCCTGCTTTCTGGAGCAGACAGCCCAGCCCAGCCCAGCCAGGGCTGGAAAGCATGCTGGGTTGCTGAGATTTAATTTGAACCAGGAAAGGGTCTGGGACAGAAGTTTCATTAAGCTTATCTTAAACCAGTTTCAACCATTTTGAAACTGGTTTACGTGTGCTGAGCTTCTGTTCTGTTACAGGTTTAAACCAGTTTCTGATCACTTAAACTAGTTTGTGTAACTTCTGTCCCTAGCCATAGAAAAGGGGGGGGGGGGTGAGAATATAGTGACTCTGCCACTAGCCACTACCTGAGTGAACAATCAATAACTTTTTTCCCCCGTGCTCCAGTAGGGTGCACTTCAGTGGGTTATTTCTTCTCTTGATGTTCTAGGTGGAAAAAAGTTGTATTAATTATAATTTCTTTCCCGTTACTCAAAAATCACCTGCCAAATAAATGGCAGACAATTACTTCCTGCCATTCAGTAACTTATCTTGCCAATGCAGATAAGGTATGGCAATGGTGACCAGCCTGCAGCATGAGTGCTTCAAGTGGCATGGGTAGCCTCCACGTGTGGTAGTTGGCAGATTAGGGAGACAGGATAGGGTAGGAAACAGAAAGCAGGGCAGCAGGTTGGGCAGGGAAAAGGGTTTGGAGTGGCTCCACACTTGAGGAAGGTGTAGGGCTAATTTGACCCCCACTGATGTATGGCAACTCAAAATGTTATATAGTTTCCAAACATATTGGTACTTAAGTATTATATTCCTCAAATACAAACTTGCAGAAATCAATATTTATAAATAAATAAATAAATTTATTTTACTGAAGGACCTTTTGTCCTCAAAAGAAATACCTCTTTTGAGGTTATCATTCTTCATTCACCTGACTTCAAAATTTGGGGAAGGCTTTTGTCAATGTGTGTGGTTTAAGGCTTTAGACACAGCCCCACACAACATTTTCAAGTAAACAGGGGAAATGTGGGCTAGATAAAATTAATATTAGGTGGGTATATCATGGGTTATTTAACCAATAACAAATAAACTATTTTAAGTGGATCAAGGTCACATTAGCAAGAGGTGTTTAGACTGTTCTGTTTCAGTTTTTTGTTAATAACTTGGCTGCAGGATCCAAAAGCAGAACTAAGAAGTTGCAAAGACTTCTTGGAGGATACAAGTAAAATTCAAATGGATCTTGATAAATTGGGGAACTGGCCTATAGATGACAAAAATATAAGTAAAGACAAATGCAAGTTGTTACCTCTAGGGAAGAGAGACTGAATTATACATCCATATCATAAAGGGGATAACTTCATTCCCAAGAAGGGTTTGAGCATTATGGTGGGTCATAAATTGAGCTGGAGTTACCTCTGTGGTGCTGTTGCAAAACAGAAAAAGCACCCAACAGATATCGTTTGAGGATACATTAATAGGTGTACTCTGTACACGGTATCAGAGGTGCTAGTACCACCTTGCTCAGTGCTAATTGGGCCTCAGTAGAGACTCGTGTACAGTTCTGGAGCTCCTCATTTTAAGGAGGTAGAGAAATTGAGAAGGGATCCAAAGACAAGTGACAAATATGATGAAGTGGTTAGAATGCAAACTGTATGAGGAAAAGTGGAAAGAACTAGGTATGTGAGTCTAGAGAAAGAGATTAGAGGGGGTAGGGAGCAAGATAGCATTTTTCGAACATTTGGAAGGCTGCCTTAAAACAGGGAGAGTAACTGTTCTTTCTTTTCATGCGAAGCAGGAAACTAAGAGTAGATTTAAATTGCCACCAATTCAATTTAATGCAAGTCTCTGGAACTGCCAAACTATAGTAAGCACATGAAAATGGCACAGCCTGCCCAGGGATGCTATAGAGTCTTCTCCCTGGAGGGTTTCAGGAAGAGCCTGGGTAGGCATCTATCTGGGACGGATGCACTATTCCTAAACCTTCTTAGATCAGTGATTCTCAACCTTTTTCACATCAGGACCCATTAGTATAATTTTCAGCTGGGCATGACCCACAACCCCCTGGCCCTGGCCCACACAGTCTCCAGGTTGCAATCCATGACCCTTGAGGTCGTTTCCTATGATTCTTTGCATTTGGGGGGGGGGGTGCGTTTTGGTTTTTGTTGCAGTTTTTGTTTTGTTTTGCCCGTGTGTGCTTGGAAATCTCTCCAGTTTAGAGAAGAACTGCCCTGGAAAATGGGAGGATGTCCTAGGTACCTGACTGAGGACTGTGTCACTTAAATGACTGTAAATTCCATAAGACTTATTCCATAAAAGTTACTGTTTTTTTGCCTTTTTTTTTTCTTTTATTTTAGAGCTCGAGGCAGCTTGCATCACGATTTCATGAACAGTTTGTTGTACGTGAAGACCTAATGGGTCTGGCCATTGGCACTCATGGTGCTAATATTCAGCAAGCCAGAAAAGTACCTGGTGTGACTGCTATTGATCTTGATGAAGACACCTGTACATTCCATATTTATGGAGAGGTAGGTTTCCAAATAAGACTCGAGCAGTCTGTAAAATGTACCTAGTTTTATCCAAAAATAGTGCATTTTCCTTATGTCTCTTTATTTCTTAGGACCAAGATGCAGTAAAAAAGGCTAGAAGCTACCTAGAATTTGCTGAAGATGTCATACAAGTCCCAAGAAATTTAGTAGGTATGTTGGTTTTGGTGTGTAACTCTGAAATGATGGAAACAGCATTTTTCTTTTTTTTTCTTTTTTTCTTTTTTTTTTTTAACCTTTGAGGAGCAATTCAATTAAAAGGGGAAAGCCTGTTCTCATTTTAGTATTTTGTGAGAATGGGCTTCAAATTATTTTAGAATTTGTCCACTCTCTGAAATATTTTGTTAGCAATATTCGTCAGAAAACATTGCTGCAGTGAGGAACTGGATCCTTAATATCTTACTCATAAAATACAGTAATTTACCCTGCCCAAACGGTAAGAAGTTACTGGTCAAAATGGCTAATGGACAGAACATAGCATGGTTCTTTCAGAGACATCCTACTAACTGCAATTATTAAAAAAAAAACAAAACAGAATAAATACAGTTAAACTCACTATTTATATCATGTATTCAGTTGTCATCTTTAATGCGGTTTGACACTTGTTTTGGTATACTGAAAGTAGACAGAGAAGACTAGTAAAAGCAGGATAGATACTAGTTTAAGCAAATGATGTAACTGATGTATGGTGGGAAAGTAGATTCTGCTATACAGAAGATTGATGAAATTACACACAAGTATTATTTTTATAAAGGCAGATATATTAGTAGCATGTTTAATAGATGTTCAAAGAGTGAAATTGATTTTTGAAGTGCTTTCTCAGCTTTCATACATGTACCTCTTTTTGAGCCTGGTGCTTTTCTGTGGAGTTGATTTGAATATAGTAAAATTACTCTGAATTTTTCTCAGCTGTATGTTTTGTGGATGCTATGTAGAAATAGTAGATTTTTGGATTTAGCTGGGTTTTTAATTCATTTTTGCTTCATGTATTTGGAACTTGAAGAATAAAAAACATGAAAAAATTCTGTATTTGATACAAACATTTATTTTCATTTTTGGAACCATAAAAATAATACCAGTGTCACTTTTCCTACTGTCTTTTAAAAACATACTTTGAAAACAGAAATATTTTGCCAAACACAATCAAAATGGAACTCCCCGTCTCCCCCTGAGGATTTAATTAGCAGTACTTTCACAATAGTACATATGATGTAATATACTGACTACATTATTTTCAATATGAACAAGTTAACAAATGTACAATCACATAAACATTTTTAAATTATTTACACATAGAATACAAAAATGGGAAGCTGAGTATTCAGGACGGGTCACTTCAAACAAGATCTTTAGACTTAAGTAGCATTATCTTTGTAGATTTAAGTCACAGCCATATTATGCAAATCAAGGGATTTTGTGATTGAATTTCCTTTGTTCTCTTCTAGGACTAGTTGAGAGAGCTCTGTTTGTTTTTCTATGTATAAATATATTTTTAACTTGAATAACTTAATACTATTTATCTTATTTCTGTTGGTGCTTTGGAGTGGTTACCTCTTGAAGTCTCAGATCAAGTGTAATATCTAGGTTTACTTAGACAGTTTGTAGCTATTTGTGTTATGAACTTTTGGATCACTTGTCACGTCCCTTTTATTAAACCATACTATTATAGTATGGTAATACTTTCAGGATGTGGGGGAAAAAGCCTAAAGGTGCAATGTTCTGTGTGTTCTTTCTGTAGGAAAAGTAATAGGAAAAAATGGAAAACTGATACAGGAGATAGTGGACAAATCGGGTGTTGTGAGAGTGAGAATTGAGGCTGAAAATGATAAGAATATTCCACAAGAAGAGGTATGTTCATAGTAAACGTGATCAGTGTATGTGTTAATTGGTGATCATGTTGTTTTAAGTGCACCAGTAAAAAAAAAAAAAAAAAAAATCTTCCTGAGAGTAAGACGGTGCACTCAATGTTCTGATCAAATTATTTTTTCCATACTAGAGCAGGGGATCGGCAACATACAGCCCACAGGCCAGATTTGGCCCCCCAAGCTTGTTTAAGTGGCCTGCCAAGCTCCAGGCCCCTGCAGACTGCAAGGAGCATCCTGAAGTTCAGAGCGCTTCTGGACATGCAGGGGAGGTATGGCAGCGGCGCAGTCCATTCTGCACCATGTGCCATGCTGCTGCAGCAGCAGGGACTGGGACAGGGCGCCAGCACGTCCCCAACCAGCCTGGCATGTGGTGCAAAACGGCTTCGGGATGCATGGGGGAACCAGGACCGCCGCGTGCTGGGTTGGTCAGAGATATGCTAGCACCTCTGTCCCAGTCCCTGCTGCTGCTGCTTTAGCTGCAGCCTGGTGCATGGTACAGGATGGACCACATGGCTGGGGCCATTGGTCCTCCATGCATTCTGAAGCCATTTTACACCATGCCCTCAGCTTTACAGGGACATGGCAGCACCTCTGTCGTAGTCTCTGCTGCTGGAGGTGCTGCCCAGCATGTGGTGCAGAATGTGCCATGCAACTGCCACAGCTCGTTCACACATTCAGAAGTGTGCTGTGTTTTGGGACGCTCCTTGTTTGTTGCTGGGTCCTGGGGCTTGGTGGGTCATGCACTAGTGAGCAGCTGCAACAGCAGGGACTGGAACGAGCTCCAGCATGTCCCCAACCAGACTGGGACTGGCAGAACAGTCAGGTAATATCCATGTGGGGCTGTGCTCGTAGATCGCAGCAGGTGGGATGCTTTGCAAATAGGAACCTTTTGCTGGGGTTTTGGGTGCAGGGTGGGACCTGCCTTCAATCAATGTATGAGCAAGAGCTACCTGCCCCCAACTCCCCTTTGGTGTGCATGGCTAGGGATGTTTCTCCATAGTGATAGGGGTGGCTCTTGTGGGTGCTCTATGAGTCTTTCCCACTGCTGAGAAACGGCAGGAAGCTGGCATGAGTCCAGTAGTCCTTGTACCATGTGCTTAATGAAGGAGCCACCTGCTGTCCCATTTCTGTTAAATATCGCCCCCATAATAAATTATACACTCCAGCCCTCCTTGTGACTGGGCTGTGTTAATCTGAAAGGTTGCTGACAACTGTACTAGTCTCCAAAAGGAAAATTTCATCTGATACCAGTACAGGTTTTTATGACATGCTGCTGTTAGTAACCTTTTGTGTAAATCTTGTTTTTCAGCTAATATAGAAGTACACCTTTTCAAAAAATATTTTTATTCCTCTGAAGTAGCATTAATACTGTTCTAGGAAATTAAGTTGTAAAATACTCTGTACTCTATTTTTGTATTCATTAACTATTTGCTTTAAATTTGGTATCTTTTCCCCAATTATACATTTTATTATTTTTGATGAAGCAGTAAAGAGGTTGGTTGCATTTTTATTACATCCTTTTTCCAGGTACTATATTTTAAGTTCGTAATAGAATAATGAATGTATCTGTAGCTTAAAAATTTTGGATATCTTGTTGTTGCGTGTGTCAGGTTTGCCTAAGAAGAGTATGTAAAAGGTTGTTCAAAACTACAGGACTGTGTTGACCTGGTATAGGGTTTCAATTAAGCCTGGAACTACTTAACTGAAAATTGCACTTCCTCTCCTGTTTTTACAAAGGAAATTTAAATCACAAAAATACCTTTTTTTCCTTTTTCTTTATCTGACAATTTCTACATAATTTCCAAAGTTAACATCAAGAGATTTCCATGGCTAAATTTTAAGAAAAGTTTAAACTTCCTTTTATTTATCCAGAAGTTCATGTATATACCAGGCAAGGAGTCTTCACTACTTTGAATTAGATGCGAGTTATGTACATATACTTTAACTTTCTGGAAGGCCATGATGGATACCTGCACACTGAGATTGTTATGCAAAATAACATTAAGCTGACTTCCAAACTCCTATAATAGTGTATTTTAGGCACAAACAAATCGGTACAATAGTGAATGGTTTTGAACTATGTTCGAAGGCTGTACAAATGCTGTTTTCTCCAAATGTAAGTTGTCAAAGGTCATATTCTATGGATATAGCAAAACCATTTTTAAAAGTCTTTAACCAAAAAATAATACATTGCATGCAGCAGAAAATAGGAGACTTAGGCTGTTATATAAAGATAGAGTTTACGGTCTTTAATTACTTCACTTCTGTATTTTAAATGGTGGGATTTCCTTACTTTCTTTTATTTTGGTTAACTTCAGCTGTAAATTTTTTGAGTTGCTGATTATTTAAATCAGGAGCACGCAACGCTTTTTTGACGGTGGGCTTCAGTGACCCACCGAAGTCAGAGTGGCAGGTGCTAGGGCCTGTGCACCACGTCCCCACAGCAGCACAGGGAGAGTACCCACAGCTGGCGGGTGACATACAGCAGTTCCGTATAGACTGTAGGTTGCTGACCCCTGATTCTAAGTTACGTTGTTTGGAGAATTATGAGCACTCAGTTCATTAGTTGTGACTGTAGTCTGAGCTTTGTCTGAATGAAGGATCTTGTTTGCCTTTTAACTACCATATTAACCTCAATCCAAAATTACTTTGAATTTTTAAGATGCCCCTCCTCCCATAATTAGATTCTATACGTGGAAAATGTATATGTTTTGTTAAAGTATTTCAGATATAGAATCTAATTATGGGGGGGTCATCTTAAATTTGTGTCTTGCCGAACAGCAAGGGGAAAGGGAGCACGGGGGTGACTGCAGAAAATGGGAAGGCACTGGGGGAACCAACTGGCCTGACCATTGCCCCCTGCTGCCTGTTCCCCGAGGGCCAAAGCTGCCCCACTGCTGCCACTGCAGCATGGCCAGGTGGGGTCTGGAGTGACCATATGCTTGGTAGCCTGGGCTGGGGAGGGGACTTGCAGAGTGCAGTGAGCTGAGGTAGTGGGGGGGAGGGGGCAGCAGTGCTGACCCTGAGCCTAGGTTGGGGTAGGAGTTGGAACTAGAGGAACTGCCGCCCCCCTGCTCTGCATTTATACGTGAATCCAAGACAAGGGGCCATTTTCCTCATAGTGGAGGGAAAGGGGGTTGTCTTAGATTTCAGTAAATATGGTATCTTTTTCATGCTCCACCCCTGCACTGTAAATTGAAGCAAGTAGGGAAAAATCATGTATGTGGAAGGTCACTGTATGACTGAAAAGTTGCGTATCGTTAGAGGGAACATTTTTGCTAATGATTCCTTTTACGTAATTAGAAAAGTATGAATGGACTACCAAAACACAAGCTCTGTAATATTCTTAACACAATTTTTCTAGCTAGGCACAAAACCTATTTATCACCTTTATTTTTCCTGTTGTTGAACACAAGGTGATTTTTATTTTCCTCTTACAAAGCAAAATTCACCATTAGCGGAATTTATGAGGTTATAGTTTAAAATAGCTGCAAGGAAATAATTGTGGGTTTTATTTTTATCTCTATCCATATTATATTGGATTGTCCAGTCCACGGCAAATAAAATTATACTATAATTGGGTCAAGTAATTGCCCACCCTGTTACGAAAATTGTTCCTGGGTTTTCTAGTCCTGCTTTAATATTAATTGGGCTCACTTTGATGTATAAAGGTTTATAGAATATATCATTGCTTTTCAGGGAATGGTACCATTTGTGTTCGTGGGAACCAAGGACAGCATCACTAACGCAACTGTGCTTTTGGATTATCACCTTAATTATTTAAAGGTAAGGAAAATATACTGCCACAAAAGCTTTTGTAATAATACTGGTTAAGGAAGTTTAAATCATGCTTTTTTGAATTAGTGTTGTTAAGTATTTGAAAATAAAAACTTAAACTTTGAATGTTCTCAGCAAATAAAATTTACTTGAATTCTTTTAGTCGGTTATATAAAAATGTATCTTGATTGCTTGAGTGTTTGGGTTTTGCTTCTCTTAGATCTTATTTTACCTCTCAACTACTCATGCAAGTTAAGGAAACCAGCTTGTTGAGGGGTTACCTTAATCATATACTGAGTAAACATGTATCAGTGTCTAGTTTCCTAGGAAGCTTCTTTAATTTTTATGGCCATATTGAAGGTCACACAGCAGCTGACTGCAGATAGTACTACACTGACACAAGTGGTTTGCCCAGTGTACGTGCCATTTTTTCCATATAACTTGGATTGTGTAAGTGGAAAAAGATAAAGCAACTAAAAGAGGGGACAGCAAGAATGTGAAATAGGTGCAAAGAAGAATAAAATATTTGGAACTGATAACCAGACTATAGTTGATGCATTTTTTGGGACCAATGTTTGACAAATTTGATACAATTGTGGCTAATTATTTTAATTAATAATATAGCTGAAATTAAAGATTAAGTAGTGGATGTAATCAAGGATATAATCCTTGTTCTTTTTAGAATGATAGTTGATAATGTCACAGTGTTCATCTCAGTATACTGGAGTTGCTACCTAACAGAGTAATGGTGTCATGGCTAAAAGTCTGGCTGTGGAACAAATGGCAATAAGTGATTTTAAATAGCGTGTCTCGTTTGCATTCAAGTTAGGTGCCTCATGATTTGTTGTTACTAATCCTGTTAAATCCATTCTTTTAAAGGATTGAAGGAAGAGGTGTAAAATATAGCCTCCAAAGGCACAAAACATAAGATTAAAAACAGTGAATAGAATACATTGTAATAGATAAAGTGAAAACAGAATTTCCTTCACACTTTTCTCATATAGATGCCATTAGTACCACTGCATTTTGTGAACTCTGTAAAGCAGTGCACACTTGGACCATAAAGATCTCTCTTACAGCTTTGAACTTTCAGCATCAAGGGTATGAGTCCGGTGCTCCGAATACCTTCAGTTCCTCCTTTCCTTTAGTCAGCTGCAGACATGATCTCCTTACAGACCAAAGTTTAAGTTTGTTTCTCATTCTTCCCATTTTAAATGTTTTGCAGTTTAGCTTTAGATGTTGTATTAGCTTTGCAACTTCATAACGTCTCCTCTAGTCTGCAGCACTGGGTTGTCATCTTAAGAGTAAAACAGAAGGTAGCACACAAGTTGTTTCTTTAATAGTCCATCTGCTTGGCCATAGCCCTTCCTCTCGTTGCCCTGATGCCCTGCCTTTGGTGGGAGGACTAGAGACGGGCAGCAAAAATTCATTTATTTCATTGTCAATGCACTTACAACTTACTCTGGTGAGAGGATAATGGCTTTTATTAATCTTCTGTTCTTCTCTTTGAAACCATGAACAACTAGATACTGATCCATACTGAACAGGAAGTATTATTGGTTCCCTTTCTTTTGGCTTCCTTGTCACTTTATACAGCAAGCACAATAAGACTACAGCTTGAGCTTGCTGATATAAACCATATAACCAACTAAATGAATTCAAGTACATTTTGTTTGAATTTCGTTAGAGGGAACATTTTTGCTAATGATTCCTTTTACATCGTTAGAAAAGTGTGTCTTGACTACCAAAACACAAGTTAGCTAGAATAAATGTTATCTAGCCTGACATAGTAATGTCTCCAAAAATAGTAGTTAGAAGTCATGCAAGTAAACATTTAAGGGTTTAGCATTTCTTTCCACGCTCTTCAGTCTGCAGTCATAAAAGCTGGTTGTGAATGAATTTCCTCCTCATTTACTGTGCAACTTGTGAGTCACTGGCAAAGTACTTGCTGTACTAGATGAGCAGTTTGAATAGCCTGCTTATGCCTTTCTATCAAAAAAATTTTCAGAATATTATGTTCAAATTCAGGGAAATGCAGAAAATCAAAAGGTAGTATATTAGGTTGGTCAGTATTAAGCAGTATCAAAAATTAAAGGTTTTGCAAGCTGTCTTGCTTCTGGAATAAGAGCCTCAGATCCTAAAATTTGGGACAGGACTGACTTTGAATAAAATCAGTACTGTTACCCAGAAATCACTTCCTTCCCATCATGTGTAGTGCATGTTGTCACATTAAATCCAAATCTGTTTGAAATGTATTGCATTAAGAAAAATGAAAATAAAGTTACTATCCAAACATTAGGAACAAATGAATTTGCTCATCTCTAATTACCAAAGGTGTCAATGTTTGAAGGTTTGATGCATTTGCTATAGACTAGAGGTAGGTAGCCTTTTCCAACTGCAGGCTAAATGACCTATCCTGGGTTGGAGGAAGGTGGGCACTAGGACCTAATCTAGCCACAGCCATGTTTGTCCATGGTGGCACAGGGTGAGCACTCAGAAACCTGCCCTCAGCCACTGAAAGCCACTGGAGCTTCAAGTCCATGGGCCAAATGTGGCCTTTGGGTCATAGGTTGCCTGACCCTTGCTATAGACAAATCAGTCAACAGATTTTGACTTATTACAAACTGTGTTCCCAAAGCCAAACAGCTCCTCTTGTCTTTTAATATTACTCTTGGCAAAAATATTTCAAAGACGAGAAAAATTTGTAATAGGGTTTCACATTTAGTTAGAGAAGTGGTTAGCAGTGTTTTTTTTCTAAAGTCAGGCAGAGAGTCGAGCAAGGTGGCACAGAGGAGGCATGAGCTTTCATAGACAACAGCCCATTGTATAGTCTCTCTCTGAACCAGTTACAGCAAGGTGTCACCTTAGAGCAGGGGTGGGCAAAATGCGGCCCGGGGGCCAGATGTGGCCCGCCAGGCCATTCTGTCTGGCCCACGGGGCCCCTAAAAATGTAGAAAATTAATATTTATCTTCCCCTAGCTGCCTATCATACGGCCCTCAATGGCTTGCCAAAACTCTGTAAGTGGCCCTCAGCCCAAAATAATTGTCCGCCCCTGCCTTGGAGACTACTTTCTGCCTGTAGTAGTAGTAATTGAATAAAGACTCTTCTTATGCCTGACAAAGTTGTGTTTGTGCCCGAAAGCTTGCAAAGAATAATTTTTCCAACTATTTAGTTGGTCTGATTAAAAAATATTGCATCTACCCAAAGAACCTCATCTGCCTATATCCTTAGACCAATATGGCTACAACCAACAAACCTAATGGTTAACAATAGTAATTTTTTCTAATTTTTTTGTTTTTATTAGGAGGTGGACCAACTACGTTTGGAAAGATTGCAAATTGATGAGCAACTCCGACAGATTGGAGCTACTTCTAGACCACCACCAAATCGTACTGATAAAGAAAAAGGGTATATGACTGATGATGGTCCAGGACTTGGACGGGGTAGTCGACCCTATAGAAACAGAGGACACAGCAGACGTGGTCCAGGCTATGCTTCAGGTAGGGATCAGGAGTATTCCTGTAATGTAAGACTGACCTGCTGGATAATCTTTTAACAAATAGTGCTTTGAGTTTTGAATGTTGCAGGGAAGGGATAGTTCAGCTGATATTAACCAAAGGGTTTTTAGTATTTGAATACTGTCCAGTGTCTTGTGTGGGGGAACATGAGATTTAGTTTTCAGATGTCCTCAGACATATGACTCTTATCTGCCTCCCAATGTCAGTGGGAAGAAAAAAGAGTAAGCAAATGGACTTGAAATACTGAAGTAACATGCACACTGTCAAGAATTTGCATGTAACTCGTTCACTGCCAGATATGTTCACTAGTACTGTTAGTCTGTTTTTACCAAAACTGAGAGTGCTACTTCTATGACCCAACTTATACTTACTTATGGTGAGACAAGGCTCCTATATTTATTTAAAGTTCACCTATTGCAACTTTGTTTTGTTCATTTTTATTCCATTGCACCAAAAACAGACCATCTATGTTTCTTTTACCTTGTTTGGTAGGAACCAACTCTGAAGCATCAAACGCTTCTGAAACAGAATCTGATCATAGGGATGAGCTTAGTGATTGGTCATTAGCCCCAGCAGAAGAAGAACGGGACAATTACCTTCGCAGAGGAGATGGGCGAAGACGTGGAGGTGGTGCACGAGGCCAAGGGGGCAGGGGTCGTGGAGGTTTCAAAGGTAATTTAATATTGAGTTTTTAAAGAGAGGAAATTCAGTGTTAGATTCTTGATTCAAGTAGTTTTGTGTATTGACTATTTCATTTTTATATAATGTTCCCAAGATGGTGAGATTTGACACACTTGGGTGCAAAATAAATAAGTATAAAATAAATTAGTTTTACTAGACCAATTAACTTTTATATAAATCAAACTGTTGCTATACCTTACCCTTGTTAATTGTTAAGTGGTAAAAATAGTATAGTGATTTCTTTTATATCCATCTTCCTTGACTTCTTAGTTCATATGTTGGAGCAATCTGAGAGATACAACCTTGATTGAGGATTTGGTGCATTCTTAATTCAATGTTTGTAAATTGCTTTGAAGGGGAAAAGTGTTAACTATTGAATTGCTTTTTCCAACTTTATCTGAGGTTAGAGAGAATACTCGCCACTCAAATATATGCCAGAATACTAATAATCCAAGAGGAAAGATGCATCATGGATCGTAAATTGTATTCCCACATACTGGTTATGGACCATAAATCACGTTTCAGTCATGTGTTCCCCATACCAGCTGTATGGCTTCACTCATTCATCTGGTTTAGTAGGAACTCCATTGAATCGGTCACCTTCCTAATATAGCTCATAGACTATACCTTTTCCTCTAAGTCTAATTCAGCCGCATGGAAGCCAGTGGAAAATTTCCAGTTGACTTTGGTGGGCTTTGGATTATACACGAAGTCAGAGCAAGTTGTCCTGCCCATTGCTACAGCACAGTACCTACCACAGCACAATTATTGTTTCATAAATCCCTTTACCCATCTCCTCCTCTGTCATGTGATGCCAGTATGTAGTGTTGTAATTTATTAATACCAGTGATTCTCAACCTTTTTAGACTCAAGGCACCCCTCCCCAGTCACAAGGCATTCCTCCATAAATGTTATGAATTGAACGACATCTCATTTCAAAAAAGGAATTTATTTATCACAATGCTTACCTCCTTGCAGTGGTGGTGGGTCCAGGCAGAGAGAGGCTGAGCCTGCCCTTCCTTGTTTATCTGCCAAATTTAGTGATGTTCTCTGGAAAGGGTAATGCTGAATTTAGAAAATACAGAAGCCATTCACAGAAAAGACTAAATATATAATGCTCGCTCTCTCTCCACACACACACAGACACACACACACACACACACACACACACACACACACACACAGACACACACACACACACACACGAGAAATATCTCAACTCTTTAGCACCCTCCCATAGATTGTCTCTTGTCCTTCCCAGTATTTTTTCTATATGCTGTACTGTGACCCACCAGGAGTCATTGAACCACTGATCATTCATACCATAAATAGCAGTTTATAGCACTGTAACTGCTGTTATGTTATGTAAATAAAGATTTACTTCTTAAGCTAAAACATCTCCATAGCGAATGTATACATTTAACTTGGGTAGAGAAATACAAAGAAGTTCTGAAGAGTTACCGCTGCTTACAGGAAATGACAGGATTTCTCCTTACAGGAAACGACGAACAGTCTCGAACAGATAACCGTCAGCGTAACTCTAGAGATACTAAAGGGAGAACAGCAGATGGATCACTTCAGGTAAATTTTCTTTTTAGATATGTGCGCTATCTAAATATCATAGAAGCACCACTTACCAATATCAGCCAATTCTAAACTTCAGGTAACACTCACTTCCACTGAATGATCAGTGGATTGATTCCCTGTTCTCAAATCAAATTTATAAGAATGTCATCTTTTTTTTATCTTGCAAGTTTATATGGAGGCAACTTGAGCTTATATTTTACTGTGTAATATACAGTCTTGTCACATATAGAAAATTTAGAACGTTTACAATCTCTTAGCCCTTTAGAATATTAATGAATTTGATAAAGGTGTCTTTAAAGATGAGAGAGAAACTTGATCTGTGAACGTAGCTCAAACTGGCCACATCTCCTGTATTGTCCTAAATTATGACTAAGTCTGACCATTACTTGAGTTGTGACCCTGTGGTTGGGGTCTTGTCTCATTCAGTGATAATTTCAATTAGTTTTTAATCCTTTTTTTCCTGGTTTTTTTATAACCTCTTCCACTTACCACAGAGGTGGTTAGCCATGCTATCCTGAAGTCAGGTAGAAGGTAGGACATGGGTAGCGCCTTAGCCATAACTGGTCCTGAGAGGCAACAACATCCTTTGTCAGATTCTGTGAATGCACTGAAGTAGGCTATTGCCTATGAGAGCTCCTGCCTCTCGGAACCGGTTAGTCTCTAAGGTGCCAGCTTGCCCTACCTTTCTCTGCTGAGTGCAAGGACAGACATTATTTGTAGTATGATATACCCTCTTACGATCATTTTGTGTAGTGTTATACAGCTGTTTGAGCTCTTTGTAGTGTTATAAAATGAGACATCTTTTACAGAGGAACTTCTTGGTAGGACTGTATTTTGTAACACAAGGTGTGATGCCTCTACAGTTACTTACAGCATGACACAGGTCTCTAGGACCCTTGGCATCCCCCAGAGTGCTTACTGCCACTTAAGCCTGGCTGTAACTGGAGGAAAAGATGAGCTATTGCTGTTTCCTCCCACATGGCAAAATGGGAAGCCACTGCATGGAGAATTTGAGACCACACTTTTGTTCTTTCAAATACCTTCCAAGGAAAGGGAGGATCCGAGTCTTGAGCGAGGCGAAGAGCTTTTCTGGAGTTAATGCCCAAAACTGGAGGTACTGGTTGGATGATGACATACTGTCTCCTACATGTACCTGAGGATATACAAGCTTTATTTGCAAAATTTTGATATAGCTACACAATTTACAAATGCATTTCTTTTCCTCAGTAATACTTGTCAAGAAGATAAATTGAGATGAACTGAAAAAATGTTCAGTCAGGGGAGAAACTAATTTCTTTATCAGCATATCAGGAATTTTTACTATGCTGAGAACTCTTACTAGTCATAATGCTGGGGAATCCTGTATACTGGCTGATCAGGAGGTAGATAATTTGTAACATTTCAAATAGCATGCCAAGAATGGCCTGAAGGGTTTACAACTATCACAGTAAAAATCTTACATTTAAGATGCTTCTGTAAAATTCTTCTTGACCACTTAGAAAGCCACATAAATCTTCTAGATGGATTAAATAAAATCTTGGCAGTGTGTGGCCAGTTAGATTATGTAATGTTGACTGCCAAAAATAGTTAATTATATTATCTTCAATTATGAAACCTGAAATAATTTTAAAATCGTACTGACTTTCCAATATACACAGTTTTAATTTCACTTCTTCCTTATTTAGCAGTAAAACTCCAGCACACTTGAGTTTTACTTTCTGGTTCTCCTGCACTAATAGAATGCTTTGCGGTGTTTGGTTTCCCAGTGATAGATTGAATGTGGACTTTTTTAAAAACAGCAGGTGATGGATTTTAAAATTAACCAAAGGCCATTTTAGTTCATGTTTTTTCAAATCTAGCTCCCTTTTTAAATGCAACCTGAAAGGTAAGGCCCAAACTACCAGGGATTCTCCCTTTTAAAATTGTTAATCTGGGGAATATTTAATGGGTATGCTTTATATAACTCTGACTTGTTTCAGATCAGAATTGACTGCAATAATGAAAGGAGTGTCCACACTAAAACATTACAGAATACCTCCAGTGAAGGTAGTCGGATGCGCACGGGTAAAGATCGTAATCCGAAGAAAGAGAAATCGGACAGCGGGGATGGTCAGCAACCGTTGGTGAATGGAGTACCCTAAACTGCATAATACTTAAAGTCATATTTCCTATACTGTTTCAGTAATTCTTATTCCACATTAGAGAAACTTGTTAGGCCAAAGACGAATAGCAGGCAAGATGGCGCAGGGCATGAAGTGAACATAAAAGTTCTGTTAGCCTTTTTTAACATCACCAGTATGCAGTTGTTTTCAGAATAAGAAGTTATTCAAATATTTGCATAAAAATATCTGAATTTCTGAAAAATGCTTTCAAGTACGTATTGCACTTCAAACAATGAAAGATTCTTTTTTGTTTGTTTTAAAAATACTGAGCTGTGCATTGGTATACTTTCTGTTCAGTTGTACCATTTTAATGCATCGGGTCAAAATCACTGCTCAATTTCAATTTTCAGAATAAATAGTGTTTGCAGTAATCAAATTGGGCTTCTGTTTTCAATCTAACTTACAAGTTCTTCATAAAATGCTATGTTGTTTTATGTCCTGTGTCAGTTCACGTTTTGGTCCACTTTTTCAGTATTTTAGTGGACCCTGAAATATGTGTGATGTAACAATTGTCATTTTCATTAGCAAAAAAGTTGTATGATCTGTGCCTTTTTTATATCTTGGCAGGTAGGAATACTATATTTGGATGCAGAAATCAGGGAAGATGAGTTGGAAACACTAAATGTAAAATATATGTAGCAAACCTTGTCAGACATTAGTACTTTATAGAAGAGTGCATGCTTTCCATAATTTTTTCCTTACATAAACATCTGGTTAGGCAGTTATAAGAATAGGAAATTTATTTTGCACTGAAGATTTGGCGAATAGTGTTATTGAGACAAGGGTGTAATTTTTTTTTCTTCGTAGTCAGTACAGAAGTTTTTAAAAAAAATCTTTCCATTTGTGGAAAACTAAAAAATTCATCATTACTGAGGGAACAAATGTAACTTGTTCACAAGATAGTAGTGTGTGCCTGCTATTTGGCCAGATGACCAGTTAAAAATGCTAACCTGTTTCATCTTCCCACGTGTTTAAAAGTTTAATTTTGGGGCTTATCTCAGGGGAGATAGGAAGAAACTTACCATGTGTGATACCCTGTAAGGTGCAGGTGTAGTGTAGCTAGGTAACATTGGAGGCAGGATAAATTCATCATAATTTTTGAGGTACAAGCTCTGATTCAGAAGCTAGTTGAAAGGTGTCGCAGAACTTGTTACGAAGTACAGTAGTACACCAGGAAGTAGGGGGTAGAATTTAGAATTGTCCTTTTTTTTCCCTTTATTTCTGATCATGAATTGAAATTTATTGGGCAAAACTGTGTGAGGACCTTCATTTTAATCCATTTTATTAAAATTACTCCAATAGGAGAGCCACTGATTATGTACAGAACTGTACAAACCTGACCTTGCCTCTGATGTATTTTGTGAGTTTTGTTTCTTTGCTTTTTTTCCTTTGTTTTTTTTTTCCTTGCATACAAGTGAGCATATAAAAATGGCAACAAACTGCACATGATATAACAAATATAAAAATGTCTTAAAGTATTGCCAAACATTAATGTTGATTTCTAGTTATTTATTTTGGGAATGTATAGTATTTGAAAACAGAAATTGGTACCTTGCACACATCATCTGTAAGCTGTTTGGTTTAAAATACTGTAGATAATTAACCAAGGTAGACTGACCTTGTAATGTAACTGCTCTTGGGCAATATTCTCTGTACATATTAGCTACAACAGATTGGATTTTATGTTGACATTTGTTTGGTTATAGTGCAATATATTTTGTATGCAAGCAGTTTCAATAAAGTTTGATCTTCCTCTGCTAATTGATGTTGATGCAATCCTTATAAACGATTGCTTTTTTTTAAAAAGTCAACTTATGACAAGTAGAACTTATATTTCTCTGTTAAACTTTAACTGTAGTTATTGTTTATTTCCATATGTTGTAGAAAGCATTACCAGATTTCAAGTTTGGCGATAATGCTAAGAATATGAAACCTCACTGGTGAAACGGTACAATACATGCTGAGCTATTACACTATATGCACTATATTTTTTACATTCAATAGTTGAATTCAATAAGGTGCTAACTAGGATTTATGTGAAATTGCTAGTTACTAATTACTAAAATTGCAGTTTGATAGGTTAATTACATTCCATTTTCAAGTGCATTTTGGGGGTAATGACATTTTACAGTATTTCTGTGTGCTGAAGTTGAACATGTATCCCTTTCGATTCAAATTCCACTGTTTTTTAAATGTTAGCAAGTTTCAAAAACATAAATTGTAAATCTAAATGTAAAATTTTATTTTGAAAAAATCATGCGTTGTTACAAAGCTTGAAAGTGCAACAGATGTCTGATGCTTGGGTTCAGATCCTACTGGTAACTTATAAAATATGGTCTAATGAATTAAAATTATTTTAAAAAAATAAAGGTTTTTTTTTTAAGATTGAAAGGTATTTGTGAATGATGATTAGGATTTAAGTTCCTAGGATTAAACACAAATTCTGTAAAGTAACAAAACATCTATGAAACCAGGGAGAAAGGTTCCCCCAACTCTTTCTTCTTTCTCAGTATTTTTCTTTTTGGTTTAGGGGAGATTTGAAAAGGGTTGTCAGGGTTATCATTAAGCCTCTCCAAGGTATTGGATAGAGAGGCAGAAGACTGGGCAGATGTTTTAGTTATAGCAGATTCCTAACCTAGTAAAACAGGAGATAATGCTACTCCACCTTAGTATTTTTGCTTGCAAGAATCAAATATTCAAGTTGAGCTTCTGTTCCTGCCCAGTTTGCATCTGTGCTCCAAGAGATTATATTTAATGCCTTTGTTAGCAAGCCATGAACGGGATCTAAATACAGAGAGTATAATATGATTATTAGCACAGATGCCTCATCATTCATAAAAGTTATCTTGAAAGACTAACTTATTTCCTGATTCAGCATACTATGCAGCTCTCCAGTGTCAAGTCTGGGATGAAACTAGATTAATCATTCCAGCAAGTATTCTGAAGTACACCAGGAACCTTTATTTAGCTTTGCAAAGTCCATCTTCTTTATCAGTCATGAATTAAAATTGGCTTACAAAAGTTTTACACTTAATTTTTTTAAGTTACTGACGGGCTCCATAACAACAGCAAGGCTAAGACTGATTTATTAGAAGAGTTGCTCAAAGAACTATTCCTTTAAAAATAAAATAAATATTGGGTCGTTTCATGCATTAAAGAAACAAGATTCAGCATAAAATTTCTGAAATATCTGATCAGTGATAAAGGATTTATTTTGTTAGTCTACATTAGAAATTAGAATTTAGTTTTAAAATTACTAGTAGGATAGCATTTTTCCCTGGCTTCAGTCACAACCAGGAAAGTCAGGAGGTTCAGAAAGCTTTACTATTTTAATGGTGTTAGGACTAAATTAGCTTAATATTGTTCAAATATGTGTATGGCATTAAGACCAGAGGTCTGTCTAACTGAGCTCAAAATCTGTCCGAGTGGGTCTGTGATTACAGTACGTAAGGTTCAGGTATCTTGCAAATATCAGAATGTGCTATCTCAGTATGGCCTTTGAAGCTAACACCCAGTTCAGAGGCGGAACCTTGCCTTCACTTTCAATTAATATTTTTCAGATCTGTCTTCTTGAGGGCTACCTCTCTACTCGTGTGTCTTCTAGAAACACTGATGTGGTCAGTTCTTGGAGGAGATAAAAACATGATAATGGAAGTGGTGGCTCTTTGAATTTATTGTCTGTATAGATGCACGCTTATCTCCAACATCTCTCACGGTTTCAGATGCATACAAAGGCTTTCCTGAACCTTTGGAAAGAAATATAAAGCAAATGGCTGTCTTTTGCTTTGTAACGTTTCAATCCTGTGTGCAACAGGTATCCAGGGGACGCAGCTTTCTATGGGCACTGATAGACATGGCGGGAAAGAGCGCCTTACCAGAAGCAGCAGCACATTACTTTGGCCCAGTTCTGCAGTATCTGTAGATCGGGGGCTTCTGCAGGGCTTTTTGGTGCTTATATGTAGGCTGATTCAAGCAACTGTTAGATAAAAACCCCACTAAAGTGCCTGATCTGTACAGGCATTGGGAAAGTTGCGTCCAGCTAATGCATGATGGCCAGAAGAAAAATAGAGTAAAGCGCCATTTTTGTTCTTTTCCACATCTGCAAAAAGCCTGTGAAAGTGAGTTATTACAGAGGCTCTGCACACTGCACTCTTCCAGAGTATGGAACACATCTGGCTCTGGATTTGACTCTGTAGATTGAGTTGGGGATGTCTTTTGTCTCCAGCAAAGGCTAAAGCACTACCAAATAAATGTAGCTTGCTCCAGCAGTTTCCTCTTCTAGAGCTTGCAAACACTCCTCTAAAGTACACTTAGTTAAAAATCTTGCTTTATCCTTTCTCTAGGCAAAAAAGAGGAACCAGCTGTAGCTGGGTTCTACAAAAACAGCATCATTGTTAAGATGTGCATGATGTAAGGCTGGTGAATTTAGCTTCAGTCATCAGTAAAGAACCTGCAATAAAATGAGGAAGATTCGAGAGCCTAGAATAAAAAACAAAATGATCAACACAGCTAAGAAGTAAGCAAGCAGAAAGCATAGGGGTGACATTTATTTATTAAATCTTCGTGTCTTTGTACCAAGATTCATAGATCTCTTGCAGTGGGTTCTTTGCCTGTTTACAGTTTGGTGGCACAATCAGTCTTGTCGCATGGCAAGAGGGGAAGGCTTTGTTACCTAAAGTTGCCTCCAGGCTTTTCTCTCTCATGACAAGTCACCTACCTAGCCTGATCTGTGGATTTTCTTCAGAAATCTTTGTGTTTTTTAGGCTAAGGAGTTTAGCTTAATATGTTTAATTCCCAGCTCTGTGTTGTATTTGATTTCTGGGGAGGCTGTGCCCTCAGCACCACTCCCGAGTTGATTACAGCTTCTAGCTATCATCTTCCACGTTTGTGCTAACACCGGTTCCCTGCCTTCATCTAATTTTTAGTATCTTCCACCCTAACATCAGCACTTTTTTACAATAGATTCCTGGAAGTTGTCATATTTGTACCTAAGATTATAACCGAATAAGTCATCACCTTTTACAAAACTATACTTAACTTCAGTAACGTATAACATGACCTTTACAGTATGGGGAAGGGGTCCAAGTCATCTATTCTTCCCTCCTAACTTGTTTGTTGGGTAGATCTATAGCTTAGGATGAAGCTTTCCTCACAGACTGTTGAGGGATGACTTGATTACCTCCCCCTATCTAGGAAAGAAGCCAGACAGAATTGAGAAAGCTGGGCCAGCAACTGCTCTCCCCCAGCTTTGCCCTGAGTGTGAACCCAGACCATGCCTAAACCGCTTGTACTGGGCCCTGCCCCTCTGGTTAGTGACCTCCACTACCATGTTTTACTCCTTCCCTGCAGCTCATGGATGGAACCTATGAAAAAATGAGGATACTACCAGCACCCGAGTTTGTAGTAAGTCTAATTGCCACCTCTGTCACAGCCGCCAAGGGTTGCTCCCGTCCCAAGCTGAGGTTTCCAAGAGGGGAGACCTGTTTGGACCTGGTGATCCCCATGAAATAGGGCTGCTGAGGAGGCCAGTCTTGAACTCCAGGCCCATCCCTTTGAGCCAAAGGGACCTATGTTGAGGGAGACATATCTGCCTTCTCAGGGCAATTGGAGTAGCATCAGCTGAATTAAATTGAAAGTTGCAAGGAGATATGGGGAGGGAGAGGGTGGAGGTCTGCAAACCGAAGCCCACTGCTATCTGAAGTGTTTCAGACACCTACTCCTACAATGTGCATCACAACTGGATCCATGATGGAAGTTATTACAGGGAGCAGCAGGTCAACTACGGTAAGTCTGGCTGTTTCAGCAAGTGGGGAAACGGGAATATCCCTTTTATCCTATTCTACTAGTGCTACCTATCCAAAGTTAGCCAAGTTATTTGTGTTCTAAATCATTGGGGGAAAAACTCCATATAGTTGCATTTTCTTTCAAGATGACATCTGTTTAGAAATCGTGGTACGCCAGTGGGGAATGACCTTTTTGGCAGACTTTTGGGGGATGCCAGGGCTGGAAAACCCCTAATTTAGGCCCCAGGCGGATGTTACAGATAAGTGATTAATCTGTTAATCACACCATAAATAACCCTGCCACATGTTCAAGGAATTAATGACATGACCAAACGGGAAACGCACCAAAAAATGTTCTACAGATGTGTATCGTTTTTGTGGCTGATTTCCATCGCACCTTAAATGAAATGTAGGGCAGGATAACAAGAGCCAGCTCAAAGCTCAGGGGCAGTCCTGGTGTTGGGACCACGCTGGCGTCTGTAACCAGCTCTAGTGTATTCTCAGGGTTAACTGTCTGTCTGAGCCCTAGGACCGCAGGCGTCTCAAAATGGTCTAGGTCCCTGGGCTCCACTTCCCGAGGATCCTGGGCTCTCCATGTACTGACAAATAGTAATGACACCATTGGGATTTGATCCTGCTGTGAATGTGTAGCCTGGCAGGAGGAGCAATTGTTAGGATTGGGCATCAGATCCCATTGTGCAGTTAAATAAATGTGCACCAGGGCCTTAGTCTCTGCTCTCCTGGTGACCCTTTTTTTGTGGAGGAGGAAGAGGGTACATCCATGACACACATCCCAAGCATCTTGTTCATTATGACCTATTCCACGGCTAATAGAGATTCCTATTGTGATGACTGTTGCTGTCTCCCTATCCTATATCACTTGCTGTGCTGTCTTTCTGCTGTGCATGAGCTGCTTGACTGGGATATCTCTAGGCACCATCTGCTTGCACCTCTTATAATGACTTGCGAGAAGGTTTGATGGGGAGAAAAGGTCAGTATTGTGGGGAAACGCGGGACCTGCTTTCACCCTTTCCTGACTCTGCCTTTTCTTTTGTTTTCCTTTCCTCTCTGTCTGCTCTGCAGTTTGCATTATATTTTGTGGAATATATTCAGACCCTTGATTCCCTTTAATGAATCCTGTGGCATGTCCCAAAGGAAAAGATTTCACACAAAAGTCTTAGTGAAGGTTTTTACTGAGAATCAAAAAAAAAAAAAAAAAAGTCCACAAACATTTTTAATCTTTTCTGTAGTACCCCATAGAAAAAATCCATCCCATTACTCAATGGTTTTTGTAATCCTTTAGAGCATAGCACTTGTTATATAGGGCTTCTGTGCTGAGGGTACACACAGATTAAATGTCAGCTCCCTTTTGTGTGTGTTTGTACAGCAGTTAATACAATAGGATTCAGGTCTGGGAGCCTCTAGAAGCTACCACAACCCACATGATAAAAAGTGAGATTGTTAAAAGTCTGTCTCGTTATCCCAGCATGCTTTAATCTTGTTTTGAAAAAGATCTATCTGAATAGAAGAAAACAAGTAGCTTAGTCAACTCAGCTGTCGCATCCTGCAGAACAGTCGTGATGAAACTTTGGTCAAAACCAGTTGCATCCCAAGTGGCTAAGCACCATGGGACCTTAAAAGACTAAAGAGGATGATTAGGGCCTCATTTTATAGCTGTGCGAGAGAGAGAGAGCGTATTCTTGGACTAGATGGGCATGTGGTCTGACCCAGGTGGCAGCATGTTATACTTTCATCCAAAGCACCACACATTCTGAATGGATGTGAACAGGTGTCTGGTCCTGCAACTAACTCTGGATGCTAAACCTGAACTAAAACCTTTGCCAAGGTTTTCAAGAAGTGGCTAGTGATTGATTGAGTTTCTCAGTTTTTCCGTTCCCAACTTGAGACATTTGAAATAGGTTTATGTTCAGAAACTATGGGTATCCCTTTTAAGTGTCTCGCATTGAGCACTCCCAAGTTAAGGCATCCAGAACCATTAATCGCTCCTGAAAAAAAAAATAACTACCAGGTCTTGGGGTTTTGTTTTTTAGTGGAGGAGGATCTTGCTGGATTCTTCCATCATCATGCACAGTCCAATTTCCTATGCCCTATTTGCTACAAAAAGACAAAATCAAAGAAATCAAGAAAAGCTATTGAGGTAGGGTTACTTAAATGCATCCATAACTCTGTCTTTGATTTTAATGTAGTAATGATGCAGATGGCAACCGGCAATCAGTTCTTGGGGAGCGGCATCTTTTTGTTGTATCATATCATCAGCCCAAGTGAGTACTGCAAAGAAAAAAAAAGTTTTTAATAGCAGCAAGCGATTTTACTGTTAAATATATCTACTCATCAGCATTGTTTTGGCTGCAATACAGAATGTGCTATTGACATTATGCAGCCCCATTTGAAATACGTGAGTGCCACACACATTAAATTTAGAAACATTCAGATTTCTCTCCACAAATTGTAATTTCTTTTGTGTATCTGACCAGGCTTTTGGTAGGAATCAGCTGTCTCCCATCTGGCATCATATCTCACTCTTTTTTTACTTTGTTTAAAAGGGATTTTTTTCCACTTTAAGGAAATAACGATAGTGTTTCTATTCTACAGTCTGCCTCGGCCCGTTATTTGGGTGAAATCAGGAGTACCACAAAGTATGTTAAGAACATGCTGAACACTGTATAGCGTATAGAACAGAAGCTTTAGCAAGAGATCTGGCAAGCTGAATTGTAAAGGGACATGTGGCTTGAATACAAGCAAACATTTTAGTTGTAGTGGTCTTAAGCATGAACATGCAGTTTATGGTGCTGCAGACCCATCTACAGCACTGCAAACTGCACACACTGCACGTGTAGGCATTCACTGCACTTCTAATTTGCAGCACAGCAGGGGTTTTTGATACTGGGAGATCTTGGTGTCAAAAAAACCCACAGCAGAAAGAAGTGAGGTGTGCACCACCCAAACCTGGAGCTTGGCTGGCCAGAGCCACATTCCAGCTGCCAGCCAGGCTCCGGGCACCTGGATTACCGCACTGGAGTCTCTGGAGGCCCCCAAATGTGTGTCACTGCTATTTGTCCCTGCGGAAATGTATGTGCATGCTCATCTGCACATGCCCCTTAAAAGGAAACACAGTAGAATCTGTTCCTCCTAGGGGAATCCCATACTTCTATGAAGTAATAGCCCATCCTGAACAATCCCAGTGCATTCCAGGAGCAATTTGAGCAGACTACCAATGCTCTGGAGAAAGAGATGTTAATTACTTTCATAAACTCTTGCTAAGTTCAGTATCCTGTCGTGCTGTAGTCATTGCTACTAGCCTGGGCAATTCACTCTTTATCTGAAGAAGTCCTGGGCTTGACTCCAGGACTGTCAGCATTAAAAGCAGTAATCCCAGCTACTTGACTTCAAGGAGTAAATCCATATATTAGTAGCAGTGATAGGATCTTGTCATTATGGACCAGCCACTGGAGAGTGACATATACCAAAAGTATTGAACCAAAAGATTGGAGTTTTCGATGAAATGGCAGCATTTTTCCTTGAAAAATGATCGTTAGCCAGCCAACATTTCAAGAGTATCTACTGCTAATATTGCAGCTCTGAGGTGCTGGAGCTCACTCCTGTATCAAATAATGAGTCCAGGTGGTTCCTCTCACTTGTCTCTTAGGTTTTATCCCTTCTCCCTTTTGAACCTTCTGTTGGTGATGGTCTTATTCTTATGTATGGTGAACTTCTTCTTTACCCATTATTAGTCCTCTTGTACCAAGAGAAGGGACAGTCTTTTGGTAAAGGCACTGCCCAGAATAATCTAGGTTCACCTCCAGGCTACAAATTGCCTGCACAACCTTAAGTCACTCAATCAAAGAAGGGGCTGGTGTTATTCCTATCTCTTACTCCTGTCTGTCTTGGCTACTTAGAGCATGAACTCTTTGGGGCAGAAACGTTGTGTTACTACATGTCATTACTGTGTCTGTTGCAGAGAGATCTTGATCTCAGCTGAGGCTTTGGAGTGCTGTTATATAAATAATGAAAAGGAAATACATCTTTAGTCATATGGTACATGTTTCAAGAAGTCTACAGCTTGTGTATGAACAATAACGCTCTTGGTCTTGACAATTTCCAGTTGAAAGGATTCTTTAATATAATTTAAATTTCACAGCTATAGTTCTTTGCTCATTTGGTTCATGAAGCAAATTGAAGTAATATAATTGAATACAACAGAAAAAGACATTTATACTTAACCCTGCTAGCCATCAGTAGACAAAATTCATAATGACTATAAATGCCGTCGTAATGAAAGATAATCAGTATGAAAATGTCATTGCATTTAATTAATTATGGATATTTTGATGATAATGAGCTAATCATTATGAGCTTTCAGGTTTTGCATCACCAACTCAGCATGTTTTAAAAAGAAGTGAAGTGGCACCCAGCAAACCTAAAATGAAACTAGAAGATATATCAGAAGCTCTGTTAAATTTCTTCAACCCAGTGAGTAAGTGTTGCTGTGATCACTGAATGCTGAGAAGAGAGATTATCTGAAACCTTCAACCCAATACCATAAGACTTTGTTAAAATGTCACTTAGCAGGTTGCATTATATTATTTCCACATAACATTTTATTCACATTTGGAACAAAGGCACATTTGTTTCCGCTGCACTAATGCCCCCTAACAAAGTCCTTCATCTTAAGTGACGTGTTATCCTCAGCCAGTTTATATCCTCAGCCAGTTTATGCCGGACACTTTCAAAGCAATAGGGGAAAGAAAATAGTGTTGTGATACAGCTGTGAGTTTTGCTATAGACACGGAAAGCATGATAATTGATACGACACGGTCTGATTCTGCATTCTTCATGCACCCAATACTGTTTTGATCCCACCAGGGGATGTTAAGGTATGTGAACAATGTAGGATGTGAAGGGGATGTGCAGAATGCAAGACTAGTTCCATGATGACATCAGAAAGTCATGGGGGAAGTGAAGTATCTGTGGGTGACACTAGATGCATAGGTCCTCGGACGGTGTAAACCTGCATAAACTGTTAAAGTTGATGAAGCTAAACCAATTTATACCTGCTGAAGATTCATGAACAAGATAAGCAAGTATCTGGCATCATTAAGTGCCTGATTTCCCCCAGGGTTTAATTGACTTGGACCTTTACCATTAAACTGAATGTGTGCATGATCGAAGGGGTGATAAAATGGACTATGGCTGGAACCAAATAATCTCCCAGAATTGTAGGGAAAATGTTGTATAAATAGGGGGAAGGGGGTGCATTTGTACTTTTAAACTTTAATAGAGACGATCCAAATAATAATTAAATAGCAATATTTTAATTATATTTCACTATTACCTTAGGTTTTTGTTACTGCCATTGCAAAATTACTACCTTTTAAGTACAAGCAATGAGTGGTTAACACTGAGACAGACAGGTGCAGCATGCCACCAACAGTTAGTTAAAATGTGTAGAATTTTTAATTTTCTTTTATTTGAGAAGCTGTCCAATCAGCAAACTAAATTTGTTTTCCCCATTATTTTTCAAATCTGTTAAAATTAGGAAAAACTCAGCTAAATGCTATTTAGATTATATTTTTCTGAATAGCTTATTAATATGGTTATTAGTGAAACAGCAGCAGCAGTTTAAAAATGTCTCATCTCACATGATCTTGGCTTTCCCTTTAGCTTTAGTATGGAGTTATTGTTCCACATCCAAAAATTAATCACTTAAGAAAATGAATGACATTTTTTGGGCAATGTGCCCTATCAAAACATAATGAATAAGTTGAAATGATAAGTTTTCTGTGTGTCAAGACATTGTTATATAACGGTTTGATTGAGCATTGTTCAAAGAACTGAAACATTCTGGTTTTTTTGTAAGCTTGTCGCCCTAAAGAAGATCAAGCATTAGTTGCATGCCCTGCAGGAGAGAATATTAACAAGACGACATGCCTGGAAAATAAATGCTGTCGTTCCTCCAAAGGGAGGAGTGCCCTGAGTTGCTACATCCCACTCCAAGATGGTAAGTGTGCTTGTTCTGTAAATTGCTAAGAATCCTTTTAGCCAAATGTTTCATCTGGTCAAAACCTGGGATTTTCTGTTCAGTTTCTTCCCTTAGTTTTTCAGTGTACCATTCTCATCCATGTAGTGCAGCGCTTATTGTAGTATTTGCATATAATGTAATATAAAAGACAATCGCTTCTGCCAAGCAATCTCAATTACTTGGGAAGCTTGGCAAAAGCAGGCAATGAGCATTTCAGTACAATTGAACATAAGGTCATATATCTAGGAACAAAGAATGCAGGCCCTATTTGTAGGCTAGTGGAATCTGTCCAGGAAAGCAGTGACTTTTAAAATGATTTGGGAAATTATGGTGAATAATCAGCTAAACCTGAGCTCCCATTGAGATATTGTGGCCAAGAAGACTACTGTGCTCATTGGGTACTTAAAGTAGGCAATATAATTACAGTAAGTAAATTATATTACCACTTGGCAGTAGCATGACCATTACCAGCATAGAGCATCCAGTTCTGGTCTGCTCTTCAAGAATGATTTTTTGAGTGTCTCAATTTTTACAACATGACAAGTACTATGTTATACTATATCCGGTTTCATTCTGCAGAGCTTTCAGTGGCGCACTGGGCCAACGGGAAAAAAATCTTGCCAAACCCAAAATTTAAATGTATAAAATAAGCTATAAAAAATAACTTGATAGGCCAAATCTTCAACTGATATAAACCAGCGTACTTCTTCCATGGTAATCCACTAGTTTACAGAGGCTTAAAATATTGCTTCATCTTTCCATTAAACCCAAAAGAAATGTTCATAAGTTGATATATTTCTCATTTGATTTCCACTTATTTGAAGACATCATCACTGTAGTAATCATAACAATGGAAACAGCAAATCAAACGTAGGGCCAAATTCCAAAACCTTTACTCGAAGTGTGTAACACCACCCTCCATTATTTTCCATTGGTATCATGGGAGTATCTTTGAGTTAAGTAATGTTCTAAATGAATCACACTGTCAGAACCTGTCTATTTGCTAGGGGCAAGGCAAATTCATAAAGCCTTTAAAAGCCAACTCATAGAATGAGTTTTATTATGTTGTGTAAAAAGACATTTAGCCACAGCAGGGAGAAACTGTGTAGTGAATTATAGCTCTCCCACTCAGTTTAGGACATGCACTCAAATGAATGTTAAAATTAAATATGCTTATTCAGCTGCAACTGCTTGATTCCTCATTTCATTTAAGCTTTTATTGTTTGGAAGTAAACATCAAGGGCCTACTATTTTACCAAATTATCTGCTTATAGATTAATTAGCTACTTGAATGCTCCAGGATGTACAACATATGTCCAAAGAAGATGCACACACTTATTGCCCTGGGAGCACATGCTGTGTGCATCATAACAATCTGTTGACAAAATACAGGCGCTTAGCAGACATTTGACTCAGGGCACTCGCATTTCTATAAGATGGTCTTTGGCTGCATACAACACATGCTTGGCCCTGGGAGTGTTGCCATTGACTTTAATGGGAACAAGATCAAGCCTTTAAAACAATGCTACAGAAGTTCCAGACATCAATATTGCAACATTGAAAGGTAATTTCTAGCCAAAGTAGACATGAGCTGGAAGTTGCTTAAAGTTTCAAGGCCAATTAATGGTTTTACATATCCTATTTTTGGGGGCACCTTTAAAGGCACCTGATTGTCATGCTGTGGGTATACCTGGCCACTAGTGACTTTTGAAAATTGAAGCCTGCATCTGACCTTAGTCAAGTAAGTATCTGGGCAGTCTGGATTCAGATCAGATTCCAAACCTGATCTTTCTGACCGGTGCCCATTTCCAACATCTGCATATTCTGTTCATCCTGTAGCAGGATTAGTTACACACCTAGCTTGCTCAATAGCTGTTCTCTCTAGTGTATCAGCAAAGGAGGCTCCAATTTAGCTCTCTAGATCATGCATCATTAATGCAGCCTTGCATCAAACCAACAGCACCCCAACAGACACTGCGACTGTTTGGCCTTGGATTTGGAGGAGTGGTTATTTTTGGATGCCTTCCACTTTGCTGCTGTACTTATTTGCAGAGAAGGTAAGAAATTACTACTTCATGCCAAACTGGATACATGCCACATTATTGAAATAATTTGGAAGTATGGGCGGTTAGACAAATGTAAAAGTGATGAGAGGAAATACAACAGAAAGAAAGCAAAGGTCTATTATGTAAACATCAAAAATGGTGGGGTTAATTTGACTTGGAAAGAGGTCAGGTATCAAGTCCAGGCTTCTCTTCCAAAGACCAGCTATATATCATCAGGACCTAATCCTGTAATTGTCCTTCCTTGGAGGAACCTGCCTGTCATTTTGGAGATTCATTGACAAAAAGCAGCTCCAAGCAGGCACAGAGGTCAGCCTGATGACCTCAGGCTCCTGTTGAAATACAAGCCTAAGCTACACTGACCAAAACTGAGTTTTGCCGTAGGCAGGTGTGCTGGCATGTTGAAACCCGGTTTTAGATGGGTTTGGTCTCCCGACCCACCTTTGGTTTAGCAATCGGTCCCCTCTCCCAACTGTATAGGCTCAACTATAGGTGTTAACTATTAAAAGCATCTTGCCCTTGTTCTCCTTTTTCATCTGTGAGTAAAGGGGCAACAACCACTACCAGTCATGAACAACAGAGGTATCAAAAAGCACTAGAAAAAAAAATTAAACAGCCCACCACTTAGTCCCCTTGAAGTGCTTCAGGGTATCTCTGTTGCTACAAATGTAATGCCAGGTGAAGTTGTATGATGGTATAACTAACAACATTCACTTAGGCTGCCCAAAATGCTACCTCCTCGCCAGAATCTTAGATCCAAAGGAAAGTGCATAACACCAGGAAAAGCGAAGGAAAAATAAATACTTCCCACAGGTAACAGTGCTTCTTATCAATTTATGATATACAGGGGAAGAGAGGGAAATGAGGACTAGCCCTCTACTTGCCCAGCTCTCAACTTGCTGGTAGAGGGAAAACAATTTTTTTACTTTCATCTCAGTCAAAAGGCATGGTGAAGTTCTTGCTCAGGAAATCTGAGAAGAAAAGAACGAAGAAGCAAAATTGACTTGAAGAGGGAGACAAACAGAAACCTAGCGCAGGATAGAATAAAGCAGAAATTGTATCGTGAGATCCATGACAGGAGGGAAAACTAATAAAAAGACTGGAGGAAAAGAGTGACACATAATGAGAGTGGCTAAGAACAAAAGTGGAGGAAAAATTATGTCTACAGCTACCAAATACTTCTGTTGAAATGTATGAAACCTTAAAGCTATCTGAATATTAGTAAGTCACTGCTTTGCAGTATTGATACTACTCTGTGTGTGTGTGTGTGTGTGTGTGTGTGTGTGTGTACATATATATGTGTGTTTACATGTATGTGTCCATGCATACATACACACACACACGTGTCATGATAATGGGGATAGAGCAAGTTACACAACGTCAGTCATCATTAAACTAACGTTTAGCATCATTTTGATTTATTTTCCTAAGATGGAAATTACTGAATAGCTAATCCTACAGGTAACACTAGTAGCTCAGTGACAGAACTGCCACTGCCATTTTTTCTTTACAAGAGTGTTTCTGAGGTGTCTGAGTTGGTGAACTAAAAAGATGGCAAAAGAAGTGCCCATGCTACACGCACACATACGCGCGCTCTGCTAATATTGCTTCTCGCCAGATGGCTATTTGCAATAGAGTTCCACATTCAGACAAATCCTGCTGTGCAAAATGCCACATTGCAACTTCCATGACATTCAGCAGCTGATGTTCAGAATGCAGATCGCCAGCCTGAGCAGTCAGTGACTCTGAAAACAGGAGGCAAAGAATTAGCATGAAATTATCATCAAAAAATTTCTGGAAAATGGATTAATGTTGGTTCGTTTTGAGAGACTTCCCATTAATGTTTAAATGCTCATCTTTGTGGGGTTTTTTTCATTATACAGTGCAACTAGGAATATTGCTGTTGTGCTATGAGTTTCTTTTTAATGCGGTGATTAACCAGATGCTAAATGGTTTTAATTTCCAGCATCATATATTTGAGTTCTAGGAAAGAAACAAGCCCATAACATAGTAACTTTGAGGGAGTTTTGCTAGTTTAAGGAAGCTCTTGATAGAGGATGTGGTTTTGCAAAACTTTCTTCTAATGTCCTTAACCTTGGTAGTGGGGAAAGAAGGTCTCTTGCTTCTGTTGTCTCAGTGACCTGGTTGGGCAGTTGTCAGTTTGTTCCTGCAAGTCATATTCAAGCCCCTTGGGGAAAATGTTAGAGCTACAAACAGTGGCTTCTGCTTCCTCTGTTAAGACTCTTGGACCTTTGTACAGTGCATACTGGGCATCCCATCCCTGACCTCAGAGTATGTGTCCTTAGACAAAACATCTTTAATAATCAACTTGAATGCAAAATTGCAGAACAAGACATCTTCTACCGACTGGACTGTGTTAAACCATAGTTTAAACAGGGACTATGGATTCTTAACTCATTACTTGGCCTACCTGTTACCTCTGGTGTTCCTCCAGGTGTTAACTGCTTTGTTCATCTCAACTGCTCTGATCGACCCACTTTACTACCTCTCCTAGCAGTGTCCTCTCCCACTGTCCCTTCCCCTCCTGTATATAATCTTTTCTTCCTACAAGTCTATATAAGAAAATAGGTTCTTGTCTACGGAAGTTTATTGCTTTGAGTGGTCTCTGAGTCACTGTCCTACCTCCTTCCTGGACTCACGCAATACACTTTTCCTCTAAGCCTCTTATAAGCTTCCCATAGAGTGCATAGAGAGTGAGCTCCTGCAGAGGTGAACTATTTACCACGCAGGGGTTTTGCAGGAGTTATGCACCCACCACACTGCATCTACCTCAAACTCTGCAACCCACACTGCAGATCTGCATCCATGGATCTCACAGCCCACAGGTAGAGAGAGAGAGCAAGATTAACATCTCGCGCTTTTTCCTTCTTGAGGCACAGGTCCAGTTCTCGTTCAGCTTGCCAGTTCGCTGGCTCTTTTGCAAGATCCTACCTTCTCTCAGAAGCATCAAGCAGTTGGGCATGGCTAGAAGTGCTTGCTTGTCTACTCCAAAAATGCCCTGGACTGGAGATAGCAGAAGTTGTTCTCAGCTACCATAGTTACAGTGGTTCTTGAGGAGTTACTTCAGGAGCCGGAGACCACTAAGCGGAAATGTACTTTGGTTGCTGGCCGTGCCATCCTATTTGGGGAGGGGAGACATGCAGATCCTAGATAATTAATCAAGCAGAGTTAATGAGAATCTTCTTTTTAATTATTTTTTTTCCTCTTCTCTTTTTTTGCTCCCATTTTATCAGTCTCTTCTGGATGAACTGTGCACCCATATCTTTGGAGTTAAACTTCTGGACTCATTTTGCTCCACCTGATTCAAAATTAAGCAACAGCAATTTGATCATCCTAGTTGAAAAAAACATATAACTTAAGTAATTGATGTAGATGACTCTGAGACGAGACTGGTAAGAGACTCAGCTAGTGTAAAGTAGAGAAGTCCTTTAGATGAAAACCTATGAGAGGGGAAGTCTTATCCATGTGCTTTTCCAAACCTGAAACACCTTCAAACTCTAGTGGAAGGTCTAGAAATGAACTTTTGGCTCCACTGAATCAGTAAGAGTTTTGCCATTCCCTTTGTGGAGCCAGGATTTCATCCTAGATCTCTATAATCTTTGTCCAAGTTCCTTCTTTGGAAAGCACACAATTTCAGCTACAGATTTAATATCTTACAGTTCTTGTACCAACCCTCTACGAAGACCAAACAAAGAAGTGGAGGAAATTGCGAAGAAGCAGAGAGAGAGGCGTAAAAACATTGGTAGTTTTTTACTGAATTTGCTTAAAGAAGATGCGGAGGATCACAAGAACAAGAAAAAAGGTAGCGAGTTGACCTCATTTAGTAGTTAATGAGTAGTTAATGATGGTTTTAGAGTACTCTGTGATTCTTTTTGCTTAATATTATTAACTAGGCACATATATGATATCCAGCTAGTAATAAACATGGACAACAGGCCTCTGGTCCAGTAGACCACGCTTTCCAAATCACCCCCGTTATTTGGCATGGGAGAGAAGGTGGATCTGCAGTGTCATAAGGGAAAAATCCTTTCTGACCCCTCAAGATAAAGATTAATTTTAGAGCAAATCCATGGCTACTAATGAAGCCCTGAGTCTGCAGTAGCTCATAGTACTCCTTCAGGTAGATGTGTGCACTGTTGGACTTATTGGTCTGCCCCCATTCTTCCTAGTCAGCAGTGGCATAAGTACTTTCTGTGCCCTGGGCAGCCATGGCAGCAGGGTCCAGGTGGGCAGTGTCAGCCACCACCCCTCTAAATCAGTGCCCCACAGCCCCCACTCCCTTGTTATGCTACTGCTGGTCAAGTGCACCTCTGTGTTTCATGGGTGCATGGCACAGAGAACTGAAAAGTCAGGTTTAGCTGCTCACTAGATGTGAACTAAAATTTGCCACCTTTACTCAACAGTCTGGAGAACCTTACTCAAGTAACTCCAGTAAAACGTAAAGGACTGCTTGCATCATGCTACTCACCAGGGGTGTAGTGGTGTCAGAATTGCCCAGAGCATCACCTGCTCGGACGAAATCCGGGATGGAGCCACACTCCAGCTCTAAGACTGAAATAAAACTAATGTCCTATATCCAGGACTTGCCCCATGTCTGGATGTTATGTTGACACAGGCTTCTGTTACACGTGGTGTTTGGGGCTGCATCTCCTGTATGTCGGAGTGGATGCGGGTGCTCTTGGCACTATAAAATTTAGCCCCGTGACCCTGCTGTTACCTGAGCACGAGGGTGCAAAAACATGGTCTCTCCATTTAACGGTGCAGTACAGTGGTTTTCAACCTGTGGTCCGCAGAACCCGGGGGGGTTTGCAGACTATGTCTAAGGGGTTTGAAAAAGATGACTATGATCAATCAAAAGTATGTGGATACCCATGCTTACAAGTGAAAGGGGTCTGCACCTCCAGTTGACATTTCCATCTCCATTCAAAGTCTTTGAGGGATTTGCAAATGAAAACACATTGCAAACCACTGGTGTGGTAAGAGAGGTACTACCACAGCCATCAGACAATGAAAATGCACACCGAGGCAAGCAATGGCTTGTAGCAATGCAGATTGTAGAATGCTTCCTGAACTCTGCCTTTACAGCCTGTTTTATCATTCTTCCTCCTTCATAGGAAAACTACCTGCTGATCTTTAACAGCATGGACAAGACGAAGATGCCAGAATCACCTGAGTGTTCAAAAAGGATGGGTTGGGGGGGTTTTTGGTATTGGGCTTCTGTAGTATCAGCATCCGGTGATAACTCTGCGTTGATTTTTTGCACCAGAAATTCTTTGTATTTGGTAACCATACAGCATTATCAGATTACCAACCTCTCTCTGATTTAAGTATTGCCTTGAAGAGGCACCCTTAATCCTAAAAAAGGCATACGCTGTCGGTGGCAATTCCTCAATGCTAAAAACAGTCTTTTATTAATAAGATATAGAGTCCTCTTACCTTTATGTGGCAAGTAAGGGTCCCAAGGAAGTGGCTCTTCCAGTTATGAGATCAGCTGTATTAAAATGCTGCCTTGATTGGGAAGTGGTGGCTGCCATTCTTTAAACTGGCTGCCAGCATGACAACCTACTTAAACTCATTCTGATTGTTATAGATACTGTAGTAGTAATGAGGATCATCCCAGTAGTTATATTAAATAGAGGATTAAAGCAATTATATTTATAAGGACTAAGGTCTGGCTAGACAAAGCCTTGGCTGGGATGATGTAGTTGGGGCTGGTCGTGTTTTGAGCAGAGTGTGTTGGACTAGTTGTGACCTCCTGAGGTCCCTCCCAACCCTCGTTTTCTACGATTCTGTGGCTACAGCAGAGATGTTAAAATTTAATTGTAAACCCTTCTCACAATAGAAAATGATGGTCATTCAATGGTGATGCAAGTATTGGTCCCGTTTCTGGATATTTACATCATTTGGTTTGTGTACAGTGCCATAGTTGCCAAGATTTTGGCTCTTTTTCAGAAGGAGGCTGAACAGTTTTCTTTTTACCTCTCTGTTTCTACTGGTGATTCTTAGGGACTCTGAATGCCCACTGATTCCTCAGATTATGAAATCACACTTAATCACAGCCATCATGTGAGTGGGCACTTCATGAATAGGTGTAATATAGTGGTGGGATGGAGTACACATCTGGGTTGCTTTAGTAAGGAAATACGGCCTGCTGAAATGATCAGGGATCTTACTACTGATTGTGTACAGCTATGAACAAGACCTTTAAAACATGATATTGCACCACTGCTGGTACCAGGTGTGTTACTGTTGTCAGAGATGTTTTTAGGTGTTCC